CAAACGAACTGTGTATAATACATATTTTCTGGAAATACAACAAGGTCTTAACTGTTTTAATACCTTCTTTATACAATGATGATGATGATGATGATGATGATGATGATGATGATGATGATGATGACTACAGCTGAGGAAGCACATGAGATGAAATGTTGAGCCATTCTACAATTAAAACTGTTGAGTCGAGTTATTTACAATAAACTGTTTGAAACATTATGATGATGATGATGACGATGATAATAATGAGGATGATGATGATGAAGATGAAGACGATGATGATAACTTCAATAATCTTGCATACAGAGAACGGAGCCTCAATAACAGGGGCATCAAGCTGCATGAAGGACAAAACACAGTCCTGACTTCATTCACATTTTAGTCTCAGAATGAGTAAGTTGGCGTAAAAAGTAACCTTTAACACACTTGAGCCTATTCCCATGTATTTATAGGATGCTCTGTGGCCCAGTGGCCAAATCTCGGGCATTTATGCGATGCGCTTTATCACTTAAAATCTCCAGTGTTTTTCAGTTACAAGGTACAGGAAGCAGCAAACCAACAGCTGACCCACTTGTGTCATTTCGCAAAAAATTTGGTGAAATTCAGTGCAATACTTTTTGAGCTGTAACGGACTAAGTCAGTCACCCCCGCATTGAAATAGATGCTTTTTATTACAAATTGGGCGCAAAAAGATTGCGTAACCCTAAGGCATTGTTTTTTCAAAATATTGATAAACTAAAACCTATTCGGAAAAATCAGATTCAGATGTTTTTTTTTCCTTGGGAGCATTTCCTTCTTTCCTTTGTTGCATTAAAAAAAAATTATGATAGCTTTCACGATCTTTTTGTGGTCACCGGTTCAACACACCCAAAAACTGTCAGGCTGCAATGGTTGTTGGGTGAAAAATGGCTCAGCTTCAAGTGAGTTAACCCTCTAATCGGAACTTATTTTGACCTAGAATGCACATTCTGTGTCTCAAATTTAGAGGGGCCACATAAAATCATGTGTAAAAGTAAAAGACGCTTGTAACATATTTAAAAAACGGGGGGAATCAAAATTTACTTTCAGCCAAGTCCATACAATGATCAATGGCACCTAAAAAATTCCTCCTCCTACCTCCCTACAAAACCAGAAACTTGAGCAAAAATCATTAGTTGTGAAAACAGTTACCACTATAGAAGTGTGAAAGCTTAATATACATTCCAAGATGTACTGCTGCTTCCGTTATTGTTTATTCTCCAGCTGTTACTACAACGATATCATCCACCACTACTGTCACTATCCCTACGTTTACTACTCCTGATAAAAAAAAAAAAAGCTACTGTAATAAAATACCTGTGGCAGGTATAAGTACACTTGAACCTGTTCTAACTTGTTCAAGACAATCACCAGTCTAAATGACCACTTCCCATTTTCCCCCTTGCGTTTTTTTGCTATATCATAATAATGACACTGTGAAGAGGGTTACCTTTCAAAGATGACACTGTTTCTCCCAGACCATTGGTGGTTGTTTTGAACAGGTTCAATTATCCTCTTTAAACGATTTCTTTGCATTTGCTTCTTTGAAGGAGTAAGGATGATCTACATTTAACAAGTATTCATAGGATGAATAAGATATTGTATACTATATTATGGCATCCTCTATTATGTTTTAATTGCACAAGTAGGTTTAGAGACAAAAAAATGCTGAAGGAAAGAAATTTGCTTATTTCTTTACACACAATTAACATGTCGCATAATATCTCTCTCATAATTATGCAATCAAATGTCTCCAAAAACAAAGTCTGAACCTTGAAAAAAGCCTACTAAGGGGACTGAAAAAGCTGACCAGTTTCTAAATACAATAGAAGTTTGTAAGCCCACTTCAACATTAGGAAACTATTCGGCTGAAATGTTGACTGAAATGGGAATATATTCTTGAACTGATCAAAACTGCTTTATAATATGCACACAGCTAACAGTTCATTGGAGAAGACCTCTTCAATCACAAAGTCAACATATCTATCATGACCTCCTGCCCATCATATTTGCGATTCTCTTGCGACTCTCCAAGATCTTTGCTTCGTTTCCTTTGTCGCTGATACTGCTGCTACTGCTGTGGTTCCTCGAGCCCGGCTCCCCACCACTGTAGCTCAGCTTGACGTTGTTGGTGGGCATCTGAGAGCGCAGCTTTAGCAGTGGGTCCTCCGGGCCAGACAGCGGGGCAGGGGACTGGTTGGACTGCAGGCTGGACACACTACCTCGCTTGGACATTCCTGAGTAACCACCTATATAGGAAGAGGATTAAAAAAATTAAACACACATCAAAACTATTGCACTTACAACTGGGACTATACTGACAGTGGAACTCGGATTCAACAAAACTCGGATTCAATAAAAACTCCCGGGGTTTTTTTTTGGTTCATTAAAAATTAATAAAATAACTGATTCAATGGCTATATAAATGAGAAAACTTGGATTCAACAAAGTCGCAAGGAATCTTATCTACTTAATTCAAAGAGACCATCAATCACACTTGCACCATGGATTATTACATGCATAGCTAAGCCTATTGTGTACAATGTAAGCATCCAACATGTGTGTCCGACGTGTGATGTTGACACGTGCGTAAGACATGACATGTCTTTGTCTTAGTTTGTGTCAGAGTCAAAAGAGGTCAGCTGGGTGATTGTTAGTTCATGTGTCTGTCTGTCTGAGGATATGGCGGAGGTGGGC